GCGAGATTTATTACTACAACTTTACTCTTACAACAGATCTTCTACTTCTACAGTCTATAGAGTAATAGTTTTCACTACCTCTCTTCATCTATAAATGCATACATATACTTTCCGGTATTTTAAAACTAAATAAATGCATACATGTTACTATAATTCTATAAAGCATTAGTAAGCTAGAGTTGATTGGTCGTATTATACTTGTGTAGGTTGTGCACTACATATTTGAATTTTGTTTTTTAAATATTGTTTTATTTATATATAAAGTTATAAACATGAATGCATTTGAATTGCATAAATAGCACTCGACTAAGCTTATACGGAGTATTATTTTCTTGAGCATCAATAAGATGTCGTGGTTGTATGAGCCGTTGTTTATATCCTAGGGCTTTAAGGATTCTTCTTTTGTCAATTTTTACGTTTATTTTATGAGTAGTTTTTTCTATAATCAATGATGTGAGTTCCTCCGGGATTTTATGTTGTTAGATTTCTATTAACACAACTCTTCCAACGGCAAATACATTTTTATCAAAATTTATCATTCTTCTTAACTCATATATATGGTGGCACTGCCCGCATACTTCCCAAGCCACCGCCACATATATTAACTCTATTAACTCATATATAGGTTGGAAGTTTGAAAGGCGAGAAACTTTTATGCCGCCACGTGGAGATCAAAGATTGTGATACATTTCTATTATACAAAGCCAAGAGAAAAATTGAACAGTATTCCCGCCCAAAAACATCACATCCATGGGTTAGGGTCGGGTCATTGGCGGGTCAGGTGAGTTTGTCCATGTGTTCCAAAGTGGGTCCTGAAATGGGTCTGAAAGCAGCTCAATGAGGTTTAATGTTGGCCAATCTCCAATGTTTAATTGTGCGGCTCAAGACATTGCATTAAATGGCACATGGAAAAGGCGGAGTGGTGCAACTGTTTTTCTCTTCACATCCTACGGAATTGCTTTATTGAATAAAAAAATGATCTAATTTGTACTTTTGAACCTTGAGCCACAAAAACAATTGATAAAATTGATAATCGTGCCCTTCCCACCATCCGAAAATCAGTTTGTGTGATAAAATTAGAAAAGGAAGCAAATTGTAATTCTTCAGATTTTTTAATTGTTTTTCAAAATTTTGGAAGTAAAAAAAAAATCCTGATGTCAGTCTTGAGCCACACAAACAATAAATCATGATGTCAGTTTAACCATTGGATAATAACCGGTTGCTTCATATGAGACTCCCATCCACCTCTATATATACCCAAGTTGTGGGTTATCTAACCACACCACAACCAGGATGCCGGTGAACAATATCATAAATCCATTCAAAATTTGAGATTTTTTTCTACTGTTAAGTATGCTTTGTAATGTTATTTGATGAATGCATGTAGGTCTCAAGGGGGCACACCTCAAGAGGGGATGAAACAGGGAGATAAATGGATGGATACAGATCTCAAGAGAGGATCAAATAGGGATGTGTAAGCTCAATGACAGTGGTTTGTTGAATATGAACCTAATGTATTGTTCAACAGAGTTTGGATGGTAATACTGCTAAAATTTAATTAAAAAGGTGAAGTGTAGGACAATATCGTGATTACATGATAGAGAGTCTACTTTCCAATGGTATTGCCCAACTTTGCAAAAACAAGTACTAATGTAGACTTAACTTTATATCACAGAGTTCAGGAAGTCATTTAAGAGCTACAAATAAAATATTAAACCACAGTTGCTCTCACCAGATTCTGTGTTTACAAGTCACATACGTTTGACTAACCCATTGATTTAGTTTCTTTGGCCAACAGGCTGTTATTTAACCGATAAGCACCATACAATTTTATTTATGATGGTTTAAATGTGAGATGCCAGAATAAGCCGGAAGCAACCGGTTATGCATAGTTGAATATCGTGTTTTGCTATATATTAAAATAAGAATATAATAAAAGTTCATTTAAGTCAATGATTTGAAAGTATATTTAAAATAGTTATACTTTACATATTGAATATTATTTCAATACTCATAAAATGTTATAAAAGTTGAAGTTTAATACGAGTAGAATGAATGTCACCAATGAAATTATGACGCAAAGAGCACATGTTTTCAGCAATTTAAGAAGACATGCAAAGTAGATTATCAAAATAGAAGCATTTAATTTCAGAGCTTTAAAATAGATGCTTACAAATTAACAAGATTCATGTTGGTTTGACGACATTGTTGATCAAATCCTTTCATTTTGTGTATAAAAAAATAAAGAAAACATCAATAAATCATAGGTTGACAGATTCGTAGCACAGAATCACATATCTTAACACACTTCTTTTGTTTTTTTTCAATAAAACCATCTGTATTAGAAGCATGTATTTACGAGAGGCAGGAAAAATCAAGTACACAAATATTATACTTCACAAATGTATCCATATACCAAAATAGAGTCAAAAACATGCCCATAGTCGGTGTCAAAGGTTGGCTATCACGAGAATAGACATCGTCAACCGGCGAGGTGATTCTCCGTCTCATGACTCCGTTTCATCTACGAAAACTGTTGGAAGTTTGTGATTCACAGAGAGCATCGGACTAAGCGTGTAGAACGAGGAGGCGGGACGGAGGTACGGTGGATGATGGGAGGCGGGACGGAGGTACGGTGGATGATGGGAGGCGGAATGGACGGAGGACTAGAGGAGGACGCTGGCGGAGTGCATCGGTGTCACCGATGGCTTTTAGGATGGTCGCAGATCTGGGATTGGGACAGGTTAGGAGTAAATTATACCTAGGTTTTTTATGAGTAGGAAAGTTTGGGTTGGGCTTTAATAAAAAAAGTTTGGGTTGGATCTCTATTTGGGCTGGATGGGGTCAACAATTTATTGGCTTGCATTCATTTAACTGATTTAACTGATATTCTTTATACATTTTAAATTATAAGGAGTATACAAATTAAAATGGGGTTGTTGGGTTAAAATTTGCAAGAAAATGATTTTTGATAGTTCGAGTTAACATATGTCTGATAATTAAAGGGGTGTATTGCTATGTTGTAAAAACTGGCTCGGGAAACGACCCGCACACAAAACCGGCGCACCGATCAACTCGGGCTCAGGTGGGTCAGCGCTAGAAAAACGATCAATATTTATACTCCCTCCGGTCAAAATAGTGGGTAAGCATTTAAAACACTTATAATATTTCATATATAATTTTGGTCTCATTGGGCTCTAGAATAAATAATGTGATTTGCTATTTGTATTGTAGATTTTAATTGTAGATTTTAATATAATTTGATAGTGATTTCTTTCTTAAATAAATATATAAATTAATCACAAACTACCTCTATTCCGGTGGACTTTGCCAAGTGCAAAGTTGGTGAGAAATAAGAATAGTAAAAATTGTGTGATTGAGATTTGTGCAGAGGGGAGAGAAATGTGTAGAATCACATATTAGTTGCTTTAATAGGAAAGTGACAAAGTTTTTGGGACAACCAAAAAAGGAAAATTGGTAAAGTCGAATGGGAAGTATTATTTTTCATTTAGGGTATTAAAGTTGCAATTTATTTGGTTTAACCACCCGAACCGAGTTTTTTCGGTTTTTGGTCATTTCAAGGTTTTTAACCACCCAAACCAGTTTTTAGTCCGGGTCACAGGTTTTCGAGTCGACCCGACTGATCTGGCTCGTTTTTTAAACATGGGTCCATCAACCATCGTAAATATTCCAAAATCCAATAAAGCAACGTTGAACACAATAGTATATCATTCACTTAATTAAAGATTGATACATTTGGAATACGGACCACACATCAGAAAAGAATTGGATAAAATTGAATGATGGTCTACACATAGATTTATAAAAATATGGGCAATCGAATATTATCATATTTTGTCATTATTATGATATTTTTATTATTTTTTATTGTAATTATTATAATTTATCTATACTATTCTTGATCGTTGATGTACTTTACATGATTTGAATATATTTCGTCCCGTGCATCGGGTGAGAATCTAGTTTTTATCAAACAAATGGATGAGACCCAAATAGATACGGAGTATTAGTTTTTTATCAAACAAATGGGTATGAGACCCAAATAAATATTGTTAAGGGAAAAGGGTCAGATCCTCGAACTTACATAAAAAAGTCAAATAAGTCCTTATATAGGAGGTTCGATTAGGGTTAATGTTAGGGTTAAGATGTGATAGGCCGCAGAGAGTATAGAGGTGGAAGGATACGGAAGTGGCAAGGTAAAAAATAAAGAGGGGTACAAGGGGGTTTTTAGGTGGGGAAACTTTCCTTTTTTAGTAAGTGGAATAATTTTTTGGGACAGCCCAAAAAAGAAAGTGAAAAGTGGGAAGAATTTTATGGGACGAATGGAAGTACATGTTTAGCGACTTCTGCAGCTCTTTTGTGGGTTGCTGATTAAAATTGTGAACATTAGGACTTTGCTGGGGACTAAAGGTTTTGTGTGGTTGTCATTGTTGGGTTGTTGTTGCTTTTCAGATTTTAATAATCCTAAAATAAAAATGACTCTTACTCCCTCCGGTTCTTAATTAACTTTACACTTTCCTTTTTGGGTCATTCCATATTAAACTTTACACTACCTTATTTGCCTTATTTGACAAATAAATCTACATCAAACAGTACAAAACCGTGCCAAACAGTGTCAAACAATGTACTATATAGTAAAGTCAATTTTATTTCATTATATATATATGAAGTCAAAGTGTAAAGTTTAATAAGAACCGGAGGGAGTACTAAACTGTGTCAATTATTTTTCATATTCTTTTTCAAATAAAATATTTCTCTCTCAAGTATGCATATTTATTTTTATTCCACATGTTAATCAAATTTCTATGGGCTGATTGCTCGTATTTTCAGTTTTGGACCAGAGTCCGTATCAGGAACTGATCCAAACTTGAGGTTTAAATTTGACTTCAGTGGCTGAAACTGGAACTGAGCTAACTGAAGAGTCAAGTAGCAGCGAAATCAATACTAGTATAAGTTAATATACTCACACAATAGCATCCCTAAAATTCAAAGTAACTCAGACATTAGCATCCTGTAAAATGTAATGAAGATATACAATGAACTGAATGAAGTGACTATATCCGAGGTATACTAAATTGAGTGGAACTTACATTATAGTATGGTTGAAAGTAAGCTTATGGGCATACATTGCCTGGTCATTTCCGTTTCTCCTTTGTTTTAGTACCACCATTATCATCTTCGTCCTCATCAGAGCTATCATCCAGATCATCATCGTTATCACAATCTGTATCAGAAGGAGGAGAGGGATCAAGTCTGGCAGCATCAATAGCCCAGTTGATAAGCTTCTGGACTTCATCATCGACATCCCCGTCTTTTCCATTCTCCGGCTCATCCCTTCCGGGATTGCTGATACTGCCAGCCGAAGAAGAGTGAGAGGGGAGTGAGCTCTTGAGCGCGGCGAATCTAGCAAACAGGTCATCATCATCGCCCTCGCCAACATTTTTGGGGAACTTTACATCATCTGACGCCGAAGATGCCGCAGGAGCCGGCATCTTCCGGTGTTTGTTAGGAATTGTGGAGCTTTTTGGTTGGGATTTTAGGGCTTGAAAGCGTCGGTCGAGATCCGGAGCGATGAATTGGGCGGAAGAACCTCGGACAGTGTGTGCATCGATGCTGAGCTGGAGAAGGGTTTCGTCCGCCGCGGCTCGCAGCAGCTCTTCAACCTCATCGACGGTTTCTGTTGTCTTCTCCCTGCTCATTTTTCTCCGATTCCACCTCACAACTGTTGATTTGGCGGATTCCCCCAAACAATGATAATGATACTGTTATTTTTTTTAGATTTTATGAATTTTAATGAAATTTAGAATTCCATAAGAATCTAGATGTCCTTAATTTGGATCTTCATGGAGTCTATGAAAGTATTTGTGTTTTCAAACATTCTATGAATTTCAATTATTTTTTATTTGGATGGTTTTTAAAGAATTTTGGTAGAATTATACATGTAAAACATTACCTACACCCCTTGGATTTCGAATCCAAGAGGAAACGTGGAAGAAAGATCGGCTTTCTTGACAGAGCTTCTATTGACCTGGCTTTCACATCTGTCGGCGGGGAGAGGACGGAGAGATGAAGCTTCGATGGCACTTTTCTCGCTGGGTGATGGTGTCGTCTTGGTCTCAGATGTGAAGACCACAAAGGCATATGCGAGAAGGACGTATCCAGAGCTGAGTTTCCTTACCTTAAGGATTGGCTGCTTTTCAAATTGTCCATCTGGTTTTCAAAGGATGTATGGGCAGAAATTGGAGAAAAAGATAGGGTCATTCTATTTGCACCCAGAAAATGGCTAAACACAGCCACCAAATAAATTAATTAAATAATAATTATTTGTAAATATCTCTTTTGCCCTTAATTAAGTATACACAGCCATCCATCCATTCCAGATTACAGACAGTCCCCATCCCCGATCCTGAAATAGGAGCTAGCTGGAGTCCACCCATTTTCTGCGTCCCTTCTTCTTCCTCCCATTCTTTACTGGATCGCACTTAGCTCATCACAGTCGTCTATCTCGCCGTCTAAATCTATCTCACCGTTAGCTCATCACTGTCGTCGTCTACCATAGCATCGAGAGTCAAATTGCCACTGTGTTCCTGTCCAGCCATGTCTCAGCTAAGGCCATCATACCATCCTCTAACCCCGAAACCGTGTACGCATGAAATTCTTCTCTCACGACCAGCCTTTCAATTAGACGGACCATCCTGAAGATGGATGATATCACGAAGATGATGAGGGAACAAACTTTATACATCATGGATTTCCCTAAACCTTACTTAACTGCTATGGTTGAGAAGGACTATAAAGGCATCGAGGGAGGCTATAAAAATGAGGTATTCTATTTCATTCTATTCATGCATATGGATCTTTCCTTCTGGTGTGTTCAAATTTATATGTATGGAATGGTTTTTTTATGCGAGGAGATGCAGACACCTGGTTCTTGATGACGCAACAGATTTTATTCTCTGTTAATAATCAACTACATGACGCCTTTCAAGGTTTGGAGCCGGAGGCTAGACATAATCAGGCCATGAGGTTGTTGCTTCCCCCTGGAAAAGATGCTCCACCTCCACTCGGAGGTCAAGGCATGACAAGAAAAAGCTCATCAGAGAGTAAGAATAGATCTGAGCATCTTCTCATGACCCGAATTTCTATACTGATGCGTTGCTGCTCTATGATGCTTACTGGTTCATATTTTGTTCAAGTAAGTTTATATTTACCCTTGCGAGTCTTTCATGGAAACTGAAATAGTTTTAATTCTTGAGATTTAAATTGTAGTGTTATTCTCAGCTCATAAAGTTTGATTCCTTTTATTTGATAGGTTATTGTACCTGTATGTGCATTAGTTGACCTCACTAAGAGGGTTCTGATGGTAGATGGTTCCACTTCACGCTTATATGCTTTCATGACTAGATTGAAACAAGAATTGATTCTTTCAGAATTCCCACTTCTGCACTTGTGCAGCTTGGAACTCATCATTACTCTAGTTAAGGAGTGGTTTTAACTTTTAATATTAATATTTTTTTGAAATCATGTGGTCTTAATCATCTCAATTAGATTATCTAGTCTTATATGGTGGCTTTATCATACAGGTCTTGTGCACAATCAGGGCACAGTATATATCAAATTAATTAGTTGTTGAAATTTGTTTGATGTCAGTAAAAATTGATGTGTAAAATTATAGAAGTGCTAAAGTTGATTCCGGTAGTTTGTTACACTGAACATGAGCCTTTTTATTAGATTTTGTCTTAGTTCTTGGTATAAAGATCTTTGCTAAACGTTGAAATTATGATATAGGAAAACTGGTAGAGTTCGTGGTTTGACATATATTAATGTAACAAAGAGCTTTGTTGCTGAGAAAGAAAAGGCTAGCAATGGTGCAAAGACCAATGTACCGGTATGTTCTGTCTTGAGAGTTCTCCTTTTACTCTATGCAACTTGCTATTTAAACTAGCGTGAATCCTATTTTTTTCATTAATTTCCATTTTAATTGTAACAACACATTACATATTCACTATCTGAATTCTTATATAATTATGTGTTACTCAATGCAGATTAAATCTTTGGAAAATTAGATCCTCATACAAGCTACACAACCTTAGTAAAATTAGAATATGGTTAAAAAAGAGTGAAGAAGTAATGAAAACACCAAAACATACATACCCCAATCTGTTGAGGTTGATAAATATTATTAATAAAAAATTGAATACACTTGGATTTCATGAACAAGTTTTTTTGTTCAGAATTGAAACCTTGAACAAATGAATTTGCCTCTACGTTTCTAAATTGAATATGCATCTTTTTGAACTACTAAAATTCCATTAGTTCTATCTTCTTCCAGCGCTATTCCAATCTTGTCCTCGTGACACATTACCTTCTAAACCTGAAAAATAAATGTAGATTAATTAGTTAAGTGGGAATTGGGACTCCCGTTAATTGTAGATTAATCATAAAAGAATAATATATCACACACTATGACTCATCTAAGATAATAACTTCATCCCTGTGCACATTCGGTTGTGCAGATAGAATGTCATTGAACTCCTTAATACGGGATAAATATGGGGTATCCCATCCTATAGCAGAATCAAGTCGAAATTGTTTCCAATTAAGAACAATGGGAGGTATTCGCGCATTAGGATCGAGAGAACCCTACAATGCATTTTAAAGGAATCAAATTTAACTATCAAGATTCAAGATGTAATATGAATGTTTACATGTAAAGTACCCAATGAGTACGTACCTCGACATAGTGATTGTTATTTACAAATCCAATCACCAGAACTTTGTGATGTTGTTGTGTTGGTGGAGTAGATCAAAGAGGGAGAAATGTGTTACATGCTTGTTTTGAAAGATAGACTAACACCACATTATATTTAGAGGAAATCAAATGACCCGTGTCTGGTAAAGTCATCTAGTTCTTGTATGGGGTTGGAACTACGAAACACAACAATTCATCAAGCAATTCAGCAACAAGGTCCATTGATTCATAAAATTTAACATAATATGACATGTGATTGCATAGTTCTTCAATTAAGTCTTCACGTATCTTTGACCAATTATCCTCTCCATAACCCAATAAAGCTGAAATGGCACGAAAACCACAATGACCATCTGGTTTGACATCATTTATGTCTAAGATATATGAATGTAAATATGATGGAAAAGAATCCAATTGTTTTTAAGAGATTTGGATCTTTTTACAACAACATTCTTCTTTTTTTTGAGCTACAACAAGATTTTCTCGTACTTCAGCATCCTGTCTTGATACCTCTGATTCAACAATTTCAAAGTACGATGGGTCACGCCGAGTTGATTCTGTTGCCTTCAATGAAGGACGACCCTTCGTTTTAGGTTTCTCAGATGGTGGAGTAAGGAATGTTGTAGTCGGGTCACCTAGTTCTCTTAAATTTCTTTTCAACGCCAACTTTCTTGTATGATTAGAAGCATAAAATCTTGACCATATTGAGTTCATCTCAAAATCAATACTCACCTCAGCCACATTTTCAATGTTCTTATATTTTTTCAAGTTTAAATGCATCCAATGAGGGTGAATATCTGAAAGAGGAATGGGGCTGCAATGTATAACATGTTTAGTAATTTCATGTGTACAAGGCAATCCGTGAGTGATTCTGATGACACACCCACATAAGTCAATGTCACCCTCAATTTCGTTTACTCTGTTATTAGACTCTGTGAGAATCAGATTTAGTGCTTTTCTAGAAACTAATCCTCTCAAGTTTCTAAACAATGAAGGCGTGAAGTTATGCTCCACCACATTCAAACTGTGTTGGAATGAAGCTTTGATTTGAGTGTGTTGCAACTCAAGTAAAGAGTTGATTAGGTTCCAAGAACAATCAAAATCTAGTTGACTTGACCCAAGCCATGTTTTTAACTTTGCATGTGCACTCTCGGCTCTGCACAAGTGAGAGAATAATAGTATAAGTTCAATGTATTTAAAAACATTGTAAAACGTGAATTCATGAAATTCTTAAAATAGTTTAGAGCATGGTAATAATACCTATTCATTGTCAAATTCCCGAAGTGCATAACTTTTTCGGTTCAAGCTGCTACAAATTTCTCTTTATGTGGAAGTAACCATGTATCCATCACATACTTGAGAAGACTTGGATAACCTTCGTAGTCACATTCAATAGCAAATAAGTTTCTAGCATACTCACTCTCGTTTGTAGAGAATACAAGAACACCCCAGGCTGCCAAGAATTTATCACAATCCTCTTTGAGTTCAAACAACTTTCTTGAACGGGCTAGGACATTTTTTGTGATATGAAATGTACATAAAAGATTTGTTCTTTCGGGAATGACTTTCTTAATAGATTTCATAAACGCCAAGTCTCTGTCGGTCACAATAACACTAGGCATGATACTTGATGTCATCAATGTTTTTAATTTTTCCATTGCCCATGTATAGTTATCTTCACGCTCAGCTTCCATGCATGTAGACGAAAGCTACTGAAAAAGTAAGGTCTGTGCATGTCACACCTACAATCTCTCATAGCGGAAGACCATATCGATTTGTTCTGTAAGTACAATCTATAAGTAAAACCAACGGAAAGGCATTTAAAATATCTATAGAAAATGGGTGCGCCCAAAACAAATCTCTTACACAGTCAGTTGACTCGTTTCTCCTATGCCATTCCACATAGCCAAAATCACTCAATCTTTTCATAAGTTGCTGCATTTGTGATCTTCCAGCTTTCTCAAGCATTTTATGTTCGTGACGAGCATTATATA